ATTCATAAAACAGTTTTAATTTGTGCTGAATGCCATGTGAATTGCTTGGGTCAGTGGACAGCAACACTTACTTAAATAGGTTTAAATCTTTGAGTAAATGAAGATCCTTACGGAAACTGTATTTTAAAATTCTTATAAAGTACTTGGTGAAACACTTCATATAGCTTTATTTTGGGGTGGGGAGAATATTACTTAGGAAAAAATAGCTGCTGGGTTTACTCTTTTAGAGATTCCTGGTGTGTTGTAGTTATGATAAATCAAGTCTTCTATGAAAGTCTCAGCTTTCACAGTTCTATGATATAAAGCAATCTGGATAGAATGTAAATGATACGCAGCTATAGGCAGAAATTATTTTAATTATAAAAGCAAATATATTGTATAAGCACAAAACAATGAGACTTTTTATTAAAAATCCACACTTTCAAAAAAATCTCATTACCTTAACCTCACACATACTCTACTTGCTTAGTGCTTGGGCCTCATTGCATCCCACACTTCCTTTACTCAAGGGCTACAGGCACACGTGCCTCCCTTCTGTTCTAGATTGCCTCAGAACCTCTGCAATTATGTTCATGTTTTAGGTCTTAGGTCAAAGGTCACCTCTTCAGAGAGGCCATCTCTGATCACATTCTCTGTGTCAGCAACCTATTCATTTCTTTCAGGCATGCATCACTCTCTGGATTATCTTAGTCATTCATGTACTTGTTTAGTATCTGCTTCATCCATAAGAAGGCAAGGCCAGTAAGGGAAGGGCCCTTATTCTCAGTCCTCCTTCAGGGCGCTGAGCCTCATAGTATTTGTGGGTTAGCGTACATGCAATTGGGTATGATTTTGGAATTTTCCTTCCTAATGAAAGGAAGGAAGTGATAGAACTGACTTCCTCCTTTTAATTCATCTTTAAAACAAGTAAAGAATTCCCAAACAGGACTTTTTCTTTCCTCCTCCTCTTCCTCCCTTTCTTCTTCCTCCTCCTCCTTTTTCTTCTAAAAAAACAGTGTGTGAGCAGGGGAAAAGGGCAAAGGGAGAGAGAGAGAATCCTAAGCCGGCTCCACACTCAGCATGGAGCCCGATGCAGGGTTCGATCCTACGACCCTGGAATCATAACCTGAGCTGAAATCAAGAGTCAGATGCTCAACGTACTGAGCCATCCAGATGCCCCAGGACTTTTTCTTTGAAGACTTACAATCTAAATGGAATCAAGCAACAAATTTAATTATAGTTCTTAAGGATTACTTGGTTTCATTTTATGAATTTAGTACATAATACCATTTGTCAATGATTCAAATTTCTCTATAATCAAATTTAATTTTATTCTACCTTGTATTGTTTAATTGTTTACAAATATTCGTTGATTTAAAAAGGGGTTTTTTTTTTTTTTTTGCTAATTCACTCTCTTTATTAGTATTTAAATTTTTTTTCAACGTTTTTTATTTATTTTTGGGACAGAGAGAGACAGAGCATGAACGGGGGAGGGGCAGAGAGAGAGGGAGACACAGAATCGGAAGCAGGCTCCAGGCTCCGAGCCATCAGCCCAGAGCCTGACGCGGGACTCGAACTCACGGACCGCGAGATCGTGACCTGGCTGAAGTCGGACGCTTAACCAACTGCGCCACCCAGGCGCCCCTCTTTATTAGTATTTATATTAACAATCAATCTATTCTCTTTTTTAACTACTTGATTTTTTTCCCCTTTTTCGTAGGGTCTTTTAAATCTAGAAGAGTTTTCATTCCCTTTTTTAAAATTCCGTGATATTTAATTATTGAAAGAAACCAGGTCATTTGTCCTATAGAATTTCCCACATCCTGGGCTTAGTTAATTTCATCTCATGTGTTAACATATTCCTCTGTCCCCCCTCCATGAATATAAATAACTGATAGATCTAGAGGCTTGGTGAGGTTTTGGGGAGTGCCTAGAATACCTCATCAGGAAGTGCCATTTATTTTTGTGGTACTGTGCCAGGAGGTACATAATACTTGGTTATCTCACTTTTAGTGACGTAAAGATTATCATTGGACTTAAGGGTTGTCAGCCTAATCCATCCATTATAAAATTCTCCATTAGCCCTTTACCCAGGAACTTATGACTCATTGAAACATGGAGGATGTAGGTGGACAGGTGTGAAAAAACAGAGGTCTAGTTTTCTGTTTTTTTGTTTTGTTTTGTTTGCTTGTTTTGTTTTACTGTTCTGCATAACCATTGCATCTATTGATGAGCATTGCCTACATCCATTGTTTCATGGGTTGCAAAATGGTGATTTTCTAATTCTATTATGCCGCTCATATTTGTTAGCTGTAATTTTTCTATCAAGAAATTTTGCCCCAATAAACTCTTGGTCATCCTGAAAAACTCATGGTGTAGAAACATCAGGATAAATGCTTTATTTTCTCCCTTTTGTTTTAGAATAATAAAATGGTGCCTATCAACCTTCTAAAGTACCAATTATTATTATTATTTTTAAATTCTTTTATGTTTATTTATTTTTGAGAGAGAAAGAGACAGAGCATGAGTGGGGAGAGTCAGAGAGAGAGGGAGACATAGAATCTGAAGCAGGGTCCATGCTCCGAACTGAGTTGTCAGTACAGAGCCCAACGTGGGGCTTCTACCCACGGACCGAGAGATCATGACCTGACCTGAAATCGGACGTTTAACTGACTGAGCCATGCAGGTGCCCCAATACCAATTATTATTTTTAAATGGGAGTTCTGGATTTTTATACATTTGATGTGTTTCAATTTATTTCAATGTTTAACTCAAACTAACCAATTCAAAAGGAAGCTGAGTTAAATTTCCTTTCAACATTGTTTGAATATCTGGATCATAACACACCTGAAATGCCTGGGTACTTATGGATGGTTCAGTTACAGGATCCAACCCACCCTTTTTACCTGCTTAAATCAGTTTGAATTGTATCTTTTCTTGTCATGTGCAGCCTGGATTTCTAACACAGATCAGTCATTCTTCTGTCCCTGTCCTGCAGTGAAACTTTGGATTTTAAAAAACAAAAAAAGTTTCCTATAAAATCATGCTGGCATTTATGCGAATCATCTTTGCTATTCCTTCTTTATGCTTTGAATCTTGGCAAGTCTCTTGAATAAAATAAAAGAACTGAAGGCACACAAATAACCGACTCTTTTCCACCAAAGGAGAAAGCATTTTAAAAAAAGGAATTTGAATCTCAGTCTTAGAAGTTTTCTATACTTAGCTAAAGTTACCAGATGCCTGGAGCAAGTGCTTTTACTAGTGGAAAGTTGCCTTCTGGTGTAGGGCATTTAGAGCCACCCACAAGCCTTTTACTGGATATGCACTTTCCATTGCTGGTAATTAACACTTTTTAAAAAGTAGAAACAGAAGGACGCCTAGGTGGTTCAGTTGGTTGAGCATCCAACTCCTGATTTTGGCTCAGGTCATGAATTCACAGTTTGTGAGTGGGAGCCTGCTTGGGATTCTCTCTCTCCTTTCTCTCTGCCCTTCCCTTGCTCTCTCTCTCTCAAAAATAAATAAATAAACTTAAAAAAAACCCTAAAAAGTGGAAACAGAGCTAGATGATCAAAGGAGTAGGTGAGCAGGAGAGTGGATAGGAATTTAGGCCTGATTTAAACATGGAGGATGTAGGTGGAGAGGTGTGAGAAACACAAAGAGGCCTAGTTTCATGCATATTTATTACTGTCCCACCTAATTTACAGAGTGGAAATGAAGAATAATCAAGTAAGTTTAAAAGACAACAAGCAGCCAAGTGTTTTAATATGATCTAAATAGTAATGGTTTAAATAAGATCTAAATAGTAAGATAATAAGAATGGGAAAGCCTTTGCATGTAGAGAAAAGAGCAGTGAATTGGGGAGTTAGAAAGTCCTAGTTCCAGCCATTTATTCAACAAACCTTTAAAGACTGAATACGTGCTAGACAATGAAGATTTCAAAGTGAATACTAAACACTTGCTAGGCAGAAGGGGTTCTCTCTTATCCTGAATCTACGTCTCACTTGGCAGATGGAGTTCACTTGGCTTTGTTTTGAATGATTGAATTTAAAAGTTTCAAGTTATATTGATACAATGTATCAGATATATAAAAATCTAGTTCTTCAATCAAAAATCGTAATTGGCTATTTTTGAAAGTTGCTAGGACTACCACTTTTCTAAAAATTTATGTAGAAAAAAAATCTACTGTTTCTACACAACTTGTATTTCAAGGCAATTAAAGAGTTAATGAGGAAAAAATACAAATACAAACAAAATACGTCGATTAGCGTAGTTGGTCATCTATAAGCTAATGATAAACATGCTTGTCTTGCCTATCTGAGGACACCTGGGGAGAGGGTGTCACTGGGATTAAGGAAAAAAGACAGCACCTGGTGGACTGCAAAAACACTCTACGAGGTCAGGTAACATTCTGGCTTCAGAATGTCAGACTGACAGCCCAGGGGCTGCCGGGCCGGGCAGCTGCTGACAGTTCTTTTCGGGTCTGGGTCTCACAAGCATGAAGCACATTGCGGGTAAGGTGACCTAGGTCTCGCTCCTGCCAACGGCGTTAGGCAGGCTCGGACTTCGGTCTTTACTGTGGTATCGCTGCCTTTCTGGTCCCCACGACCGCAACCGCAGTCCCTCCGCCCACCTCAAGATGGGTGAAAAAAAAAAAAAAAAAACACACAGAAAGCGGATGCGGTGGGGAGGCCAGCTTCCAGGCGTCGGAATCCAGATGGCTGCTGCTGTTGCCAGCCACTCCCGGCCCAGAGTGGGGCGGGGCCTCTGCGACGCTGCTCTTACGCGGGGCGGCGTGCTCCCCCCTGTTATGGCAGGCAGCCAGGCGGCTGAAGCTGAAGGGTCTTCGCTACAGAGACGACGGTTCGTCGCTGCCCTCGACAGCTCAGTCTTTTTCCAGGTGCTTCCGGGCCTCCAGTCCATCAACACTTTTGTTTGGCCACACTTCCCGGCCTCCTCTGAAGCTGCTTCGGAAGCTTTTCGAGGAGTGGGATGAAGTGATAAAAGAGCCCAGTGGCATAAAGATGGGAGGAAGGGCTCCAGGCCCGACTGGACAGGACAGGAGACGAGGGGATTCCAGTCGGAGTCGACGGAGAGTTTACCTGAAGAAAGAGGGCGCTCTGGAAGGTGACCAGCCGTAGCTCCAGGCCTGGGAAGGGGTAAGCCCTGGATTTGGTGGAAATCCAACAAGGCTGTCATTGCAGCTGGATTCGGATGGGCCCCAGAGGCAGCCAGGCTCGGGTGAGCTAAAGAACTTGTAGAATAACCCTCACCATCACGCCCCACCGCCCAGTTTAGTACAAAATGAGCTTTCTGGTAGATGGCTGATATAATATAATATGATATGATATATATAATATAATATACCTTTTTAGCCTGAGTCTAAGTCCTTTCGCACAGGCCGAAAATGTGTTGGGTCTAAACTTCTGAGATGCGGTTGGTTTTAAGTAACTCGAAGCTCTGAACTAGGAGATGGTTAACATCATTTCTTTCAAGAAAAGAATGTGTGATGGGGGAACTGGTTACTACCAAACTGGAAACGAATAATCTTATAAGCATCAGAGATGGTAGTTCAGTTCATCAAAACCTTCTTGAACATAACTAGTTCTCCATGCTAGATATAAAACTATGGAAGAGGTGGCCACTGCCTTTGAGAAACTGACAGGCCAGGGAAGACACATAAACAGATAAACTGCTTTTTTTCATAAGCAGGTAATTTCAATAAAATGTGGGAAGTCCAGGGATGGAAGCATGCCTTGGCTGGTTTAGGAAACCAGAGGGACTCTCACCTCAACCCAGGTAGTCCTCAGAGATTGCTAGGGTTGACTTCTGAACAGAGGCTTGAAGGTGGGTTAGGAATTAGCCAGATGAAGAGGTATCCTAATTTGGGGAAATTAGGTATCCTAATCTGGGAACTGCTTGGGTAAAGGTGTAGCGGTGGGACATAACATTGTTATGTTTTGAAATGTACAGATAGTTAAGTCTCACTGAAGTGAAGTGTTAAATGGTGGAGTGGGCAGTGGATGAGCCTGGAGAGGAAGGTAGAATGAGGTGATGTAAGGCCTCATATATCCTTAACGCCTTTGTGAGATGTTAAGTGGAGGGGCAGTATAATCAGATTTTCACTCTCCAGGATGCCCTGCACGAGGGCTTTTCAAATTTTAATGCCCTTATAAAATCACTCCAGAATCCTGTTAAAGTGTGATTCCAATTCAGGAGTTCTAGTGTGGGATCTGAAATTCTGCATTGCTAGCAAGCTTGCGGGTTAAAGTTGGTATCACTTAGAGCAGAGATCGCCTTTTGCAAAGCAAGGGTATAGGGGTTAGCTTTGGCATTAAAGCAGTAACAGGCTAGAATGATGAGAACTCAACTAGGCAAGAAACAGTGGGAATGGAAGGAAAAGGGCAAATTTAAGAAATCGTGAGAAAGTAATTTGGCAGGAGATGGTGGTTAATCTGATATGGAGGATGAGGGAAGAGCAGCAAGTAAGGGATGATACCCAAGTTTTTGGCTCATTTATTTATACACACAGCAATATTTGCTCTTGGTGTGCATTTCAGCTAATACATGGAGTCTGTTAACAACCGTCACAGTCAAGTTCCAGAATAGTTCCATCACTCCAAACAAAACAAAACAAAACAAAACAAAACAAAACAAAACACAATACCTCTCTTGTGCTGCCCTTCTTAGTCAAGTCCTTTCACTCATTTAAATCACTATTCCTATATGTATAATGTGGGTTTTTTTAATCTATCTGATTTCAGCCCTCTTCCCCCTATCTTTGGTTCTTAGCTTTATTATAGTGTGTCTAGGCATGGGTTTTTTTGGTGTTTTTCACTGAGATTGTTGAATATATAAATTTATGTCTTTTACCAAACTTGGGAAGTTTTCTGTCATGATTTCTTTGTATATTTTTTTCTGTACCAGTATCTTTCTCCTCTTCTTCTGGGATTTTAATGGTCTACATGAATGTTAGACCTTTTGATACTGGTTCCCAGATTCCTGAAGCGGAATTAATTTTTTTTCCATTTTTTTCTCTCAGTTCTTCAAACTGTATAATTTTTATTGCTCTATATTCAGAGTTATTTACTCCTTCCTTTGGTCATCTCTATTCTGTTGTTGAGCCAATCCAGTACATTTTTAACTTCAAATATTATCATTTTCAACTTCAAATATTATCATTTTCTCTTCTAAAATGGATTCTTTTTATAGTTTTTATTTCTCTGCTGAGAACTTCAATGTTTTCATCTATTTGATGAGGGTTTACCTTTTCTCATAGAGAATGATTGGAATAGCTGCTTTAAAGTCTTTGTCATATCATTCCAACATCTTGGTCATGGGGGTGCGGTTGGCATTTCTCTCAAGAATTAGATTTCCTGTTCTTTGTATATTGAGTAATTGTGATTATATCCTATGTATTTTGAATCTTATGTTCTGGATTCTTGGTCCTGTTAAAACCCTCTTAAGGGTGTTGATTTTTGTTTTGACAGGTAATCAGCCTCAATAGGTTCTGACTGCACATTCTATTTTGCCTTCCTTGGGTGGTGGTTACCTCAGTCCAATTTTCAGAGTCTTTACTATGCTATTTGACTCTGACTCATGTACCACTCAGGGGTTAATCTGGAACTTGGGCAGTAGTTAATATTGTAGTTGAGTTCTCTAAATCTTTGTTATGCTTCTTTGAATCTGCTTTCTATGTGGACAGCTCAAGGTTGAGCCTAGGATTTATGTTGAATCGTATACAGAATTAGGTGATTCCCCTTTTGTTTTTTTTTTCCCTACAGGAGTCTCATGCACCCTTCCTTCCCCATGCACACATGCTGGTTCCTATGACCAGAAAGCCAGATTTCTGTCAGTGTTAGCCTTCTTGCTTTAGGGCAGTCCTTGAAACTAAGGCAACCTTCATGGTGGAGTGTTAAGAGAAGAAAATAAAGGAGATGCTCTCCATACTCCTTAGTGTTTGCTTTCTCTAGCAAGAGAGACAGGCTTTCTCTTGGGTTTTAAGTGCCTAAGATGCCATGTTTGATAACACTATATCTCTGAGGCCAAAGAAAACAAATACAACCCAGGGATTCCCCCCACCTTCTCGCATTCACAGATCCCTTTCCCTAGTCTTCTGGATAGAGATAGGGGGTTTCTTCTGGAGTTTTTGCTGTCTGAGCCCACCGTGCAGCTTCAGGATTAGACTTTGGATCAAAGCTGGAGACAAATAAAGGACCAACAAAATAAAACAAACTCTGAAACTCATCCATTACAAGGTTGTTTAGATTTTGACTTCAGCCCCAATATGCCTGCTATTGTTTACTTTTCATATTACTCAGGTAGCTTTTAAGAAATACTCTACCAGGGTTTTTATTTGTAATGAATGGAGAAATAGGCTGTAGATGGTTTACTCTATCTTGTCTGGCCAATCATTTTCTTCCCCTCTAAGTCACTTAAAATGCTTCTCTGCAGTACCATACAGACATCATTTTTTCAGACCTCACAGCTCAAGGTTAAAAATTGGTGATTTTATTGACATGGCAATGTGGTCAAAGTTTAAGCATTGCTGAAGCTGAATTGCTGGACCATTGTATTTTGTTTTTCTTCATCTTCTTTGCTTGTATATGTTTTGTTTTGGCTATTTTTCATGCACAAGTTCCCAACTTTAACTGGAATGAGGGATACAGCTCCTAGTAAAGATCCCCAGGAGGCAATACGTATAGTTGTGTTCACTGTCTAAAAAAGCACTCTCTGAGAGCCTGGATTTAGTCCTAGCCTTCCCTCTGGAAACCATGTCTGAAAATGCATCCATTCCTTTTTGTGACTTGATGGGTGTTGCTACTAGTCTTATGTGAAAATTCAAGTTGCTGACTAATGAGATTTTGTTGGCTTGTGATTTGTTTTCTAAGAGGCAGGATTCATTTTTCTTATATGTGCCCTGGGAACTTTTTATCAACCCTTGTATTCTTTTACAGCCTCTGGTAAGGTTAACTGCTCTATAACATGAGGGATATATCTCAAATTAATCCTGTTGAGTACATTTATAGAACCACCTTAGATAGTTCATTGCTACATGGATTTGTATATGTGTTCAGGTCACATGTCTTCTGAACACTGTAATTGCATACAGTGAAAAGCTAATTCAACATAATTACCCTGGAAGATGAGTGTTAATTTTGTCCCTCAAGACAGACCAACACTGTCTTCATGTGAATTGTGTAGATGGAAAATACTTGTTACAAAGGATATACTTGGGAAGGGGAGGAAAAGAAAGCAAAGTACAAGGAGACAAGGATTTAATAACCACATTAAATTGACTAAAGAAAGCAACATTTTGGTCAGGGTGTATATCAAAATACTGGCAACTCCATTGATTAAACACAGTGGTGCCAAGTGCTATTTTTAGAACTGTGACACTGAAAGGATATTTAATTAGATTTTTTTATGAATCAAAGCCTTGACATGACATTAGAATTGTGCTATTTTGATAACTTTGATAACATATAAACTTTGAACATATAAAATTGAAACTCTGATTGTCCCAAAAAATGTTACCGTATTTTTAACAAAACAGTGAAAATTATTTGAGAATTTCAGATTTTGCCTGAAAGTTTTTCTTTTAATCCAGCCATCTATTTTCTCCCTCCCTTTTTTATAGTTAGTATTTGCTACTATCTCATTTTCCAATATTTTAAAATTATATTTTATTATTAAAATATGCATCTGTGGGGCACCTGGGGGGCTCAGTTCGTTGAACATCTGACTTTGGCTCAGGTCGTGACCTCGTGGTTCATGGGTTCGAGCTCAGAGCCTGGAGCCTGCTTCAGATTCTGTGTCTCCCTCTCTCTCTGCCCCTCCCCCAGTCGTGATTTGTCTCTCTGTCTCTCTCTCAAAAATAAATGTTAAAAAAAATTAGAGAAAATATGCATCTGTAATGAAGTGGTCAGTGACTTTTGGTGTATTAGCTCTTAATGTAGTCTAGTAGTTTGACTAGAATTCACTTTGAAATTAATGTTCTCTTTTCAGTTATTTGTTTTAAATATTAATTTTGAGAGAGAAAGAGAGAGAATGAGCAGGGGAGTGGCAGAGAGAGAAGGAGACACGTAATCCCAAGCAGGCTCCACATTCTCAGTGCAGAGCCCCATATGAGGCTCAGTCTCACGAACCACAAGATCCTGACCTGAGCCAAAATCAAGAGTTGGACACTTGACTGACTGGGCCACCCTGGTGCCCTATTTTATTGAGAACATGGATAACTAATTTTTTGGCCCCCAGTCTTTTGGTTTTCCTTTTTGTATAAAAATATTCCTGACTAGTCTCTTATGGAAATAGTTAAAAAAAAAAAAAAAAAAAAGAAGACCAAAGATTTATGTGTATTAGGAAATTATTTCAGAGTTATTTGCAATAATGAATACTTAAAAACAAATGTTTTAGAATTATATAATGCTTACATAAATTATACATCCTTGTGAGGGAGTATTATCAATATTTAATGGTTTTAGGAAGAATTTTAATGACATTGCAGATGTTTAAATATAATTGTTAAGTGAAAAATGTAGTTTCTAAAACTTTAGACAGATCAATCCAAACTATGTAAAATTAATGGTTCTATAACACATTAGCCTTCATAGAAAGAAAGCTGAAAGGAAATACACCAAAGTCTTACTACAGAGAGAATTATAGGAGATTTCTGTATTCTTATTTATAATTCCCTTTGGTGCCCACATTTTGTATAGTTTTTTTTGAATAGATAATATATTTACATGGTTCAAAACATTTTAAGTATAAAGGGTAAAAATCTCCTTCTCATCCCTATCTCCTCAGCTACTCATTTGTCTTTTCCATAGACAGCCAATGTATTCGATATATTTAATCCTCCCTGAGGAATTTTCT